CAGTCTAATAAGGTTATAAGCCACGTACACATTACGGCACACAACATACCTTGAATTCTGTATAAAATATCGTTAGCTCTCTGTCCTCATTTTTGACGAGCTCGTCCACCGTTTCGATCTCTACAGAGTCCACAAGTTCTGCACCTAATTCTTTCATATACTCCAAGCCTCGTTCGAACGCTTGTAGCCTAGCCGTGATAGCCTCCTCACTGTCTTCTTCTTTCCACGCTGCTCGCTCAGCATAATACCCTCGTAGGACCCCAATGCGAACACCTTTAAGAAAGTCCGGGCGCAGAGCGGAGAGGTAGTCGGGAACCGGTGGCTGTTGGAGTGTGGTTTCATCTGAATTATCTCTCCCGCTGATTGCTTGGAGGAGGATTGCAGTATCCGAGACGGTTCGGCACATGGGACCAACACTATCTTGGCTTTTCGAAATAGGAATCACTGTAATCGTCGATGAGTCTGGCGTCAAGAAAGTTGGAACGGACGTACCTCCACTTCTAGATGTAAGCCCGACTGTAGGCTTGATCCCAACTACGTTATTGAGACTACATGGGCAGGATATGCTACCGTCCGTTTCAGATCCCAAAGTACCCGCGGCAAGTCCAATGGCAGCGGCGACTCCAGACCCAGAAGATGACCCCGACGGGTCAGCACCAGGGAAAAATGAGTTGGTGCATTGTCCTCCTCTAGATGACCATCCAGATGGGAGTTTACCGCGCCAATGTGCCCACTCGGACTACAACACAATGAGAACTTGATTCCAATCCCGATTTGGAGACGTACCATATTTAACTTTCCGAGAATGATCGCGCCCGCATCTCGTAGTTTCTTTGCAACTGTCGCGTCCTCGGGCGGAAAGCATCCTACAAGCGCAAAGGACCCTGCGGTTGTATTCAATTTTTCGTCGAATCCGGTCGGTGATTTAGTTGCAATATTGTCCTTTAGCAATATGGGAATGCCATGTAATAGTGGGAGTTCTTCCCCTTTGATCTGTGCAAGCCGTCTCTGTTCATCTAGCTGCTCTGCTTGCTCGATAGCGGCGGCATTGATCTCCAAAACTACTCTAAGACGTGGTCCATTTTCATTAACTTCGTTGATCCGAGCAATATACGCCTTTGTTAAACATCAGCAAGTTGTAGTGGGTGCCAAGAACGTTTGCATTGTTCAATTGTCCTCACTCACTTTGACAAGTTGAGCCGAAGTGAATCGTCCCGCTTGTAGTCCTTCCTTTAGTTGAGATATTTCCGCATCATAGAGGTCTGGAATATCGTGGTCTGTAGTTGAAGCCATAGCGTACTGACTCATCATCCTGGGGAGTTGGGAAGGCGACCAACTTCTCTACACAGTAGGCTAACCGCCACATGGGGGAGTGACACGATATATTATCGGCTCAAGTCTACAAAATCTCTATCTCTATCATCTATTGCTAACACTAGAGAACTCGTTTAAATTCATTGGGAGAGACCAGGAGCCAGCATGCTTTCCTCTCTCAGGCCCAGGGGTGGCGCTGATTTGGGATCGTGGGATCGCCGCTGCGTAGGCCTTCCGCTTTGATCTAACCTTGAGTTGTTGTTCGAGCGCGTAAGCGCATCCGATCAGGGTACGTTCCGACCAAGCGGTACCCATGAATACAATCCCGAATGGCAGTCCAGGTGCGGAAAGGTAGGGCGCATTGGAGTCCTGTCGGAATGGTGTTGTAGTCTCAGGGAGAAACCCAAGGGGTACTGTAGCGGGTTGGTTAGTGATTAAAAAGAAATAAAGCCTGCAACTCACGAGTCAATATCGGATACTCAGCGACACCAGGTACATAGGACGTTCGAACTGTTGCAGTGGTCAACACCTTGTTCAACTAGAATAATATTATGGGAACATACGCGACCAGGGTGCGATTAGTACATCCAGGGAATTCTCTTCGAGGCAAGCATCGATGCCTTCCTCTCTTGACTTGAGTTGGAGCCACTTGACGGTCTCCTTATATTGAGCGTTTTCGTTGGTCGCCTCCGACTCAGTTAACCTGATAAATCCATGAGTAAAGGTCCAAGAGATGATCAAGAGTACCAACTTGATTTGATTTTCCTGCCCCATGTATTGGCTCTCCTTATGGGTGCGGTTGAACTCGATCACGTCTGCTAATGATTGAACACCAGTAGGACGGTGGGGTATCTTGGCAAGATATTCGTTAAGGCCTTTCTGAACTGGCTGTCAGTAAAACAATAGGTTTTGCTTCATGTATCCCTACCTTGAAATCTGTACGAAAGATGATCTTTTCCTTC